GGTACAGCAGTGGAGGCCATGTGAAGTAGGTGGATTCTAGGTATATTTTGAAGATAATGTGGACAGGATTAGCTAACATGTTCGATGTAGAATGTAAGTAAAAGAGGAGTGAAAGACTCTTCCAAGGGCCCTGAGTGCAGAAAAGAAGGGGAAACCCTTAGACAAGCACTAGATGGTTCTTTGGGAGTAAGAAGCATAAAGACAGAGGTCAGATGCAGTGATGTGGCACTGCTCTTAAGTTGAGAATGAAACCGACAGGAATGGGGATACAAGTGTGGAAAAGGCAGAGCTGGATTTTATGGTCACAGATTTCAGAGACCAGGAAGACATAGGAGAGACGCAAGGGAGATGACAGGCAGCCAGAGGAGTGGAGGGCCACTGCCTCTTGCATCCTACAACAGCGCCTCCTTCTGGGATTGCTGTTTTCCATGTTCCACTCTGTAATTGTCCCTTCAAAGAAGGCCTATGGTGTTAGCTTTCCACAGCCTTATTTCTCTACAGATGCCTCCATTCCAGTTTTCATGGTTAGTGGCTTATCTGGTGCAGACTTCTGAGGCACTGGCTACTTGCCCAAGGCCTCTGAAGATGTACCAACGTGTTCCTGCATCTGGCATCGCTGATGAGAAATCTGGGGTAAATGTCATTCTTATTCCCAAGTGGGGGACTTCTCTGTAGAATTTGGAATTTTCTCTACACTCTTATTATTCTGAAGTATCACCACAATGTTTATAGATGTCCAATCTTCGTGACTACTATCCAGCATGGGTTCATTTTGGCCCTTCTGGACTGACCCCATATTTATCTCGAGATGCCTGGAGCATGACACCGACAGTCAGCTGAAGCTATGGCCAAGAGAAGTGAAGTCCTCAACCATGAGCTGATGATTATTTAGGCAGAACATTCCAGCCTGTCAGCAGTGGTCAGTAATCATAATTGGACTCAGGACTTGCAATTTTGGTGGGGATTGGGCAGTTCCACACTCACGGCTGGTTCTGTAGATGAAACGTGGCTGCACGTCCATCTTCCAGACCCCACCATGAAGGGGCTTTAGATCTCTTCAGGCCCAGGTGCTGCACTCATGGGCCAGTGGCTGCCTGTGAGTATCCAAGGCCAGCATGAGACCAGCACCTGAGAAGAGGTCCCTCTGCAAGTGTCGCTTCTGTACCGCTGCAGTTGCACACTTGCCCACGAACAGGAGTCCTATGAATCTTTGCAGCAATGAAGCTAACTAATGTATAATTAGCACATATATGTGAAAGGAATGACATTTATTAATTGGATCATGCAAAATAAACCCTCTAAGTAAATCAGTGCCAGAAACCAGACATTTTCTTAATCTCTCACCCCCTCCAGAGGTTTTGGTTCTTCTGAGTCACCAGTCTCTGTAATAATTACTCTCTGCACAGCACAACTGTCCAGCAGAAATATAAGGAATGCCACACATTTAAAGTTTCTAATAGTGACATTAAGAAAAAGGAAAAGGAGAACAGGTGAATTCAATTTTATATTTTATTTAACCTATTATGTCAGGAACATCATCCGTTCAACATGAAATCATAACAAATTTGAGACATCTTACATTCTTTGTCTTATTAATCTCTGAAATCTACTGTGTATTTTTATACTTAAAAAACATCAATTCAGAGTAGCTACATTCAAATGTTCAATAGCTGGGCATGGCCACCCTATCAGGCAGTGGAGCAATAGAGAGTCTAAGACTGGATTAATTACCCAGCAGTAACTCTGGGTAACGAAAGGCCACTCCCGTTTGTGACATGGTTGGTGTGGCTTGCTCTTTGCTACTATTAAATGGTCCACTTCTTTCTGCCAATTGACTGCACTTCCACTCTTACTTACCTCCCAACCCCATTTCTGTTCTAAAGTCATCAGGCCCTCAAATGCTGCCATGATCTTACTCCTACCCAGCAATATATGCTAGTTTGTGGGTCCAGAACTGTCCTTTATTTGGTGCTTCTTCTTGGGGAGAAAGATGTCACAGACATGTTCTTTAGTACTATTTTGTTCAGATGTACAGATCCATCCATTAATTTACAATTAAAATACTGCATTTTCACACATCACAGTATTAAATGAAAGTGGGTTAGAGTAATACCCACCTTCTGTCACAGTGACCCAGTATCATGCAGATTTTATGCTACTCCAGGAAAGGTGAATCGATGCCAATTAAGATTTCTCTGTCTCAAGCTGAATATCATCAACTGCTAAGGTTACTAAATTTCAAACATTTGTCAGTTACTATGAAATAAAACAACCTGCCTTTTGGGCATAAAGATTTGTTCATATTGATCTTCATAAAAGTTTGACAAGTATGTTTTCATAATTTATGTATTTCTATTTGGTTTAAATTTTTCTTTATAATATCAATGTTTTGATGTCTGGTAAATTTTTAACATTGGCTTAAGCTCACATGTGTCCAGTGATCAGTGCATCTCTCCAGGGTATAAATCCTCATGTGCAGTATAAATCTGATACTAAAACACATCTGTCATGGAGTCTTTCCAAGGTGAATTTTCTGATACAATGTATCTTGAACATTTTCTAAATGCATTGTCAGATTCATAATCTTTGACAGGTTCCTCTCCTGTACAAATGCTCTGAAGTTTGTTAAGGCTGATGCAAATCAATGGTTTAAAGAATTTCCTCACTCATTTTACAAAGACTAGAAAAGACTACAAGAATCTTCCCATAAAGGTTACATTTGCAAGGTTTTTCAGTGTACAATATTTGAAATATATCATTAAAATGTGAGTTCTGATTAATGTTAAGGTGGAATACTGGCTGCTGGCCTTTGTACAAAGTTGACTGTGTTTGCAAGATTAAATATAAAACAGAACTATAGGAAAACTAGAGAATTCCAGTAAGCTTCATAAAAAGGAGACTATTATGTTTTGATTATAGCACATGAGCACACTGTTTAATACTGAATGATTCTCCTCTTAATAATTAATCCCATTTGAATAACCAGTATTGCAGTATTACAGACATAACAGGAAATTACATATAATTCAAACATAATATTGTATTCTTAAGTCTAAATTCTACTGAACTCTCTATTTTGCCTAAAAATTATTAAGGCATATTAAGTTAAAGAGGAGCAAATTAATTAGTTTCATTATTATAAAAAAAAAAGGGTAGAAAAGACATATCTGTTCGTCCTGATCACTGGACACTTGTCCTCCTTAAAGGTCAGCATGGACTAAGTAAGGCGGGGGAGGAGGGGTTTCTTCAACACCGATCCAAGTGAGAACTGACATTCTGAACTCACAGTGCTACCTCCGCTCCCTCTCTGCAACCTTTGTTCCCCATGTGCTTCTCCCACAGTTCTTTACCTCGAGCTCTGACCCACCGCTCCCAGGCCAGTGCCTCCACTGGGAGCTAGCCCCCAGCCTCCTTGTCTTCAGGAATACCCCAGGACGCTCTCTGGGTCGTAGTGCAATGAAGGCCATGGGTGTCTCTCCCAGTAAGACTGTAAGCTGTACAAGCAGGGACCTTTTACATCTCCAGAACCTTGCCAAGTATCTGCTATATAGAACATATTCATCTGTTTCTTAAGAATCTTATCCTATTTGAAGTCATGCAAATACCTTCAAAATTACACTTTCTACAAAATTCTTGAACATTTTCTAAATGCATTGTCAGATTCATAATCTTTGACAGGTTCCTCTCCTGTACAAATGCTCTGAAGTTTGTTAAGGCTGATGCAAATCAATGGTTTAAAGAATTTCCTCACTCATTTTACAAAGACTAGAAAAGACTACAAGAATCTTCCCATAAAGGTTACATTTGCAAGGTTTTTCAGTGTACAATATTTGAAATATATCATTAAAATGTGAGTTCTGATTAATGTTAAGGTGGAATACTGGCTGCTGGCCTTTGTACAAAGTTGACTGTGTTTGCAAGATTAAATATAAAACAGAACTATAGGAAAACTAGAGAATTCCAGTAAGCTTCATAAAAAGGAGACTATTATGTTTTGATTATAGCACATGAGCACACTGTTTAATACTGAATGATTCTCCTCTTAATAATTAATCCCATTTGAATAACCAGTATTGCAGTATTACAGACATAACAGGAAATTACATATAATTCAAACATAATATTGTATTCTTAAGTCTAAATTCTACTGAACTCTCTATTTTGCCTAAAAATTATTAAGGCATATTAAGTTAAAGAGGAGCAAATTAATTAGTTTCATTATTATAAAAAAAAAAGGGTAGAAAAGACATATCTGTTCGTCCTGATCACTGGACACTTGTCCTCCTTAAAGGTCAGCATGGACTAAGTAAGGCGGGGGAGGAGGGGTTTCTTCAACACCGATCCAAGTGAGAACTGACATTCTGAACTCACAGTGCTACCTCCGCTCCCTCTCTGCAACCTTTGTTCCCCATGTGCTTCTCCCACAGTTCTTTACCTCGAGCTCTGACCCACCGCTCCCAGGCCAGTGCCTCCACTGGGAGCTAGCCCCCAGCCTCCTTGTCTTCAGGAATACCCCAGGACGCTCTCTGGGTCGTAGTGCAATGAAGGCCATGGGTGTCTCTCCCAGTAAGACTGTAAGCTGTACAAGCAGGGACCTTTTACATCTCCAGAACCTTGCCAAGTATCTGCTATATAGAACATATTCATCTGTTTCTTAAGAATCTTATCCTATTTGAAGTCATGCAAATACCTTCAAAATTACACTTTCTACAAAATTTTAATTGCTTTGTTTCTTTGATCCCTCAAAGAGTTAAAAAAAAAGAAAAACAGGATAGAAACACATGTCAATGGCATTATATGAATAACATTCAGTTACCTTTCTCTGAATTTTACAACAGTTAAAACTGGTCACACATATTAACAGAACAAATATTACTTTTTAAAAGTTAACATCTCTGCAATGTGGGAGCAAAAATGATTACTGTATCTTTTTTGGTATGAGCCATTAACATTTAACCTAAATATACGCTGGGGGTGCCTCTTAGGAAAACTTAACTTACCCTGACGTCAGTAGCGTCTCCATGCCTGATAATACTGGCCCAAGTAGCTGGCTCACTGTTGCTTTCAAAATAATGAAAGACCTTTAACACACGCTCCATCGCCCCAGGGGAACGTTCCACCCCAGTACCCAGGTGGGTCTTGGTACTGGAATTTGGTGTGTGATTCAAGTTTGGATCAAGGTAAGCAGCTGCCATTATTTTGCTAGATGCTAGGTATCTGTCATATTCTGTAAGAGAAAAAAATAAATTTCAGTGTATAATATTTGAAATCTACCATTAAAATGTGATACACTGATACTGATATTAATTACCTGTTCTATGTTCCCTCCCTGTGGAGTGTTATATGCAGAAAGTGAGCCTGAGTGGGGCCTAACTACCAAGATAATCAGTCTTTCCCAGGATCCAAAGCACCACCTGGCTCAAGGTAGCAAATAAAATAAACATTTGTTAAACTGACTATTAAAAAACCAGGAGTCCTATTTCAGCCCTGTGGAAAATTCACTGTGTTAGCTATAAACAATGTAACTTAACCGCCCCTCCCCCTCCAACCACTTTAAATCATAGCCTGTAAATTTGTGGAGAAATCTCACAGGAAAGACAAAATGTTGATTTGGTTGCTTATTTTGAAAAACTTTTACATGAGATACGAGTTCTTTCTTCATATGATAAAAATTCAATGAGTAGTCGTTAAATGTACTAGGCACCGGTAATGAAAGAAGTCAAAACAAGGTCCTCTTGCTCAGTCACTTAGAGGAGTCAGACATGCCACGTAACAAAACAAGCACAAACAGCATCAATAGCGAAGTGTTTCAGTGAGGTGAAAGGACTCCATTTGAATGTGAGGGAAAACTTGGGCAAGGTTACAACTCTCACTGTGATAACTCAGAAACGCAGATTAAAAACCACCCAAACGGTGCAGGAGCCGGATGCACACTGTGGACAGGGTGGGAAAACGCGGCCATTGAGCTTGGTCTGACCGCTGCACCAGACACGTCACCCAACTCTTCCTTTCCAAGTGAAATATTTACTATGATTGACCACATGACGGGTGGAAGATTAAGATTCAATAAATACCAAAGGACAAAAATTGTTCAAAGTATGTTCTGCGTCTGGCATTAGGCTGGACAAGATAACTAGAAATCCCTCTAAAAATTTACATGCATGCACAATTCCTTGCAAAGTTTAAGCAAAGACTGAAACTATAAAATCTAAATAGACCAATTCTATTAAAAAGTCAATTTGTAATAAAAATTCTTCCTACAAAATATGAATTCTTCCAATATTTTAAAAAAGTACATTAATCTTACAGAAATTCTTCCAGAGAATAGGAAACATTCCTAATTTGTTTTACGAGACCAGCAAAAAACAGTGACACAAAATCTGAGGACAACATGAGTCATAAAGGGCACAAATCAGTGTTTCTGATAAACACAAGTAAAAATTGTAAAGAAGTATTAACAAATTTAATCAGGCAATATGTAAAAATAATGTATTATGACCAAGAGGAATTCATTTGAGGAAGACAAAAGTGGTTAAACATTCAAAAAGCAATAATGTTTAGAGCAGCTTTATTCATCACAGCCAAAACTTGGAAACAATGGAGATGCCCTTCAGCAAATGAATAAACAAACTGCAGCCCATCCAGATAATGGAATATTATTCAGTGCTACAGTTCAGTGCTTTCATCAAAACCCTATTTGTGCAACATTTCCACCGAGTCTTCCTGGACTTTCCAAACCATCTACATCTCATTCCGTTAACAACCACCCCCCTCTCCTGCTGGTGGTATTCATATCTGTCTTTTTTATTAGTCTTGAGGAGTTTGAGATCCCAGCATCTGGGTCACCTCTTTGGAAGTCACAAAGCAATAGTTTGGCCACTGTGAGGGGTGGTCTCAAGTACAAAATGAGAAGTCCCAAGGGAGCTGCTTTCTGCCACACTGACTATCCTGCTTCCAAACAATGGAACTGAACTGTGTGGTTCCGTACTTGTTTGTGACCCATGGCTAAAGTTATACAATTGGGACGGCCAATTCTGTGTGTCTATACATGAAAAAAAGCACCTCACTTTCCTCATCATGAAAGGCAGGCTTTTACAGGGTTTTGTAATTATAGCTATAATATGTGACCAGTTGTACTTTTTTTTTTTTGCTTTTTATTTTTTTATTTTAGTTTCATTAATATACAGTTACATGAGCAACATTGTGGTTACTAGATTCCCCATTATCAAGTCTCCCCCACATACCCCATTACAGTCACTGTCCATCAGCATAGTAAGATGCTATACAGTCACTATTTGTCTTCTCTGTGCTGTACTGCCTTCCCTGTGCCCCCCTCTACATTATGTCTGCTAATCGTAATGCCCCTTATTCCCCTTCTCCCTCCCTTCCTACCCACCCTCCCCAGTCCCCTTCCCTTTGGTAACTATTAGTCCATGCTTGGGTTCTGTGAGTCTGCTATTTTGCTCCTTCCGTTTTTTCTTTGTTTCTTATACTCCACAGATGAGTGAAATTATTTGGTAGTTGTCTTTCTCCACCTGGCTTATTTCACTGAGCATAATACCCTCTAGCTCCATCCATGTTGTTGCAAAAGGTAGGATTTGTTTTCTTCTTATGAATAATATCCCATTGTGTATATGTACCACATCTTCTTTATCCATTCATCTACTGATGGACACTTAGGTTGCTTCCATTTCTTGGCTATTGCAAATAGTGCTGCGATAAACATAGGGGTGCATATGTCTTTTTTAAACTGGGCTCCTGCATTCTTAGGGCAAATTCTTAGGAGCAGAATTCCCAGGTCAAATGGTATTTCTATTTTTAGTTTTTTGAGGAACCTCCATACTACTTTCCAAAATGGCTGAACTAATTTACATTCCCACCAGGAGTGTAGGAGGTTCCCTTTCTCCGTATCTTCACCAAAATTTGTTGCCATTTGTCTTTTGGATGGTGGCCATCCTAACTGGTGTGAGGTGATATCTCGTTGTGGTTTTAATTTGCATTTCCCTGATGATTAGCAATGTGCAGGATCTTTTCATGTGTCTGTTGGGCATCTGAATTTCTTCTGTGGAGAAGTGTCTGTTCAGATCCTCTGCCCATTTTTTAATTGGATTGTTTGTTTTTTGTTTGTTGAGGTGTGTGAGCTCTTTACAGATTTTGGATGTCAACCCCTTATCGGATATGTCATTTATGAATATATTTTCCCATAGCCAGTTGTATACTTAAAAACTTTTCAAGATTAACCAGTCATAGGCTTCTGCTACTTGTACATACTACAGAATGTCTTTTTTAAAAAAAAAAAAACTATCAAAGTGGAGGAAATAAAAGATTTAAAACACAAACTGTTTTTAAATGACATAGACCCATCCTCCTCAAACTATCTGTGGTAAAGGACCAGTCTGTTTTACTTTCATCTTTAACATGTCATACATAGACCAACACTTCAGTAAAACAGAGTGAAAAGGAATTTCTAAAACCATGAAATTTCAAAATAAAAGATATAAAAGCCAAGCACAAAACTTCTGTTATTAGTCAGTTAACTAAAATCACTATCAAATTGCTATGCCGGTTTCCTAATGCTTACTCCAGATTCTACCCAAATACTATTTGTCCTGGACTGTTAACAGTTCCCACACCCAGGCCAGCCTGCTGACCGCACTGGGCCAAGTCCTGGCTCAGGCCCCTGAGCACTGACTTCCCAGCAACACCGCCCAGTTTCAAGCACCACTGCTGCCCAGAGTGCAAGCACTGCACAGACGGGGGATACAGACCACACAGCCCACCCAGAGCTGCAGGGCTCCTCTGATTAACACCAGAAATACCTCAGAGGTTCCTGGCGCCTGTTTCTTCTCCTGGAAGAAGTAAGGCAGTCCTAAGTAAGGCTGCAAGCAAACAAGGTGTCAGCAAACCCTGGAGTTGACTCTGAGGCTCACCCCACAGTAAATGCTCCATAAAAAAGGAGAGAAGTATGAGGACCTAACAAACTCTTACTCCAGAACTTCCTAGTTTATACTCACTGAACATACTAAGATCCCACCAAGAAAGCAACCTCAATAATTGCTCAAATGCTGGACATTTAATAAAACTTGAGATGCTTGTCAGCATACAAGAGAAGCAAAGAATGCAAACTGGTGCAGCTCATCTTGTTAAAAATTATAAGCCTGTTTGGAAGAGTTTTTAAAAACTTGGTAATGATTCTAAAGTAAATCTTTAAACTAGATTGGTGTAAAAGTTTTCTTTTCCCAAGGTTTGTTCTTTTACACAGATTTGGGTTTATTTTCTCATGAAAAGTCTAACCCAAATATTCTAAATTTCCTATATTGATTTTATTCAACAGAGAGCCTAACATCAAATTACTTAAATGTTTAATAGTATAATATCAATGTGTGGCAGTGTATTTATACTTTCCAAAAGTAGCTATAACAGTATCTCCCATTCTCAAAGTACTTCTTCTAATATGGCTTTGATAACTTTTCAAGAGATGGAGTCTGTGTTCCTTTCCCTGGAATCCAGGTGGTCTTCCGACTAGGCAAGAACCATCCTAAGTTAGGTCACGAAAGCTGATACCAAGAAAAAAGAAAGAAAAGGCAACCTGGGGCCCCGTGGTTCTCTGAGAGCAGTCACGCATGCGTTCCAACCAGCAACACACAGCACAGGGGCTCGAGCCCCCTGAGAACCGGGCTCCAAGAAACAAAGCCAGAGCTGGGCTTCTGGCTGACAGCCGGCATCACCCGCTGAGCTGGGTGACACAGCACCCTGAAAGCGCACCAACTCCCAGTTGTGCTACCCCAGCTGACACCACACGCAGAGAAACAAGCTGTCCCTATTGAGCCCTGTTCAGATGAAAGATCTGAACAAACAGAACATTCTTGGCTCTTGCTTTGCACAGGTGAGGAGGACCGTAAGATAACCCACTAACAAGTAGTCTGAACAGCGCCTGCCTTCTTGGCCCCAATGCATTAACTGAAGACACAGAATGAGCGTGTTTTCATTGCCTTGGCAAACCGTCACACTCAGTCCTACACGGGGTGGCTTCCAACATTTTATCCTTTGTACATTCAATGTCATGAAATACCTAAAAGCTTCTCTGACAGTAACATTCTCACCATGTCACTTCCTCAGGGACACCTTTTTTGTCATAACTATCTTCTTCATTTATGTCAGTAAGTTCACCTTTACTAAGTTCCTTTGGCTTCATATCTAGATGTCTGGATCAACAAGTCAACATTC